GAATCATCATTGAAGATTGTTGTGAAAGTTCTTCAGTAAGAGTAAGAGACTTCTGATTAAAAATGACTTTCTTCCCATGAGGGGAAGAACTCTCCCCACTTGAACTCCAAAGTTCAATTACTTGAGGCTTCAATTGTGTAGATGGGGGAACATCTACTTTCTTCCTTTCTTTAGCCTTAATAGATGCTTGTTTAGCAAACATGTGTGGGGCCCTACTGCTGTACCTTTTGAGGGTGGGTATAGATATTTTATTAGTATGATTGATGATCATTCCTGTTCAGCATATGATATATGCCCTCCACCAAAGTTCTTATTCATAAAACACCACAACAAAATGGTGTTGTGGAGAGGAAGAATCACCATCCTTTAGAGGTTGCACGTGGACTGTTGTTGAATATGAATGTCCCCAAACATTTTTTGATGGATGCAATTATTGCAGCAACCTATGTGATTAACCACATGACTTCCAAAATATTACAGTATTGTATGTCCCTAATCTCCTCTATTCTCTATTCCTATGCATGTTTTTGGTTTTCGCTGTTTTATTCATGATTATCCTCTTCACATGTCAAACTTGACCCTAAAATTATTTATTCCATGTGTCTTTTTGGGCTATTTGTCCACTTAGAAGGGTTATAGATGTTATGATCCTATGTCCCATCAGTATTTTGTTTCCATGAATGTGTCATTTTTTGAGTCCAAGCCTTTCTTTTCGACTTCTCCTTAGGGAGAGCATAGTGTGGAGGAGAAGCAAGCCCGACAAGTCCAACTTCCTCCTCTTCCGAATCTTCCTCCAGTGTAAGGACCGGTAGAGTTTGAAGGATGTGGAGCAACCCACAACTGTGTAGTCAACACCATTTGATTCTTTGGAGGCAGATCTTCAATCAAGTACCATCATTCCAATTGATATTCTTGACCCTATTGCTATTGATCTTGTAACCTTGGCATTCCTATTGACCACCGAAAGGGTGTTAGGTTAGGCATCACAAAACATCCTATTGCCCACTAGTCATATGACCTTGTTTCACCTTCCTTGTAGAGGCCTTAACCATCCCTGAGTGGACATGTGCAAATGCGAGGGGAGATTAATACTCTACACAAAAACAATCGTGAGAGTTGGTTGATCTTCCTAAGGGAAAGGAGCTAGTAGGGTGTAAGTGGGTGTTTTTAGTAAAATATAAGGCAAATAGAGTGGTGGAAAGGTACAAAGCTAGATTGGTGGCCAAAGGGTATGCTCAAGTGTATGGGATTGACTATGTAGAAGCTTTTGCACTAGTAGCTAAAATGAACACTGTGTGGATCTTGTTTTCATTAGCAAATAATCTCGACTAGGAGTTGCATCAATTAGACATAAAAAATGCTTTCTTGAATGGGGATTTGGAGAAAGAGGTATATATGGTTCAACCACTTGGATTTTGTGCTAAATGGGCTAAAGCAATCTTCTGGAGCTTGGTTTAGTAGATTTCACATGGCTATACAACAAGTTAGATTCAAGCAGTGCCAATCAGATAATACTCTCTTTGTTAGAAGAGATCAAGGCAAAGTAGCAATTTTGGTGGTGTATGTGGATGACATTATTCTTATAGGAAACTGGGATAGTGAAATATAGAAATTGAAGGACTTTTTCATACACAATTTGAAGTGAAAGATCTAGGGCCTCTTCATTATTTCCTTGGAATTGAGGTTGCTTGTTCAAAGAAGGGTATCTTCATTTCTTAGAGGAAATATACCCTAGACTTCTTACAAGATGCATGTAAATTGGGGGCAAAGCTGGCTGACACCACTCAGCCTAATATTGCATATGCAGTGGGCGTTTTTATTTAGTTCATGCATTCCCTTGAGGTTGCTCATCTTGAGGTTGCAGAAAGGGTCTTCAAGTATCTAAAGAATATCTAGGGACAGGTCCTCTGTATAAGAAGCAAGACCATATGAAGGTGGAAGTATATATACACTGCTGCAGATTGGGCTGGATTTGTGGATGATAGAAAATCCACTGGTGGATACTATACCTTTATGGGAGGAAACCTAGTTACTTGGAGGAGCAGAAAACAAAATGTGGTTGCAAGATCCAGTGCAGAAGCTGAATATAGAGCCATGCCTCCTCATGGGGTGGCTGAAGTTCTTTGGATCAAAAACATGATGGGAGAATTGGGCTTTATTGTGGATAGTCCTATGCCACTCTATTGTGACAATAAAACAGCTATCAACATAACTGCAAACCCAGTTCTACATGATAGAACTAAACACATTGAGGTGGATAAGCATTTTATAAGAGAGAAACTTGAGAAGGGTGAAGTGTGTACATCCTATGTCAGCTCAAAGGAGCAACTTGCCGATGTTTTGACTAAGGGCTTTCATCTTCCATGGCACAATTGATTTGCATAACTGAACTTGAAGGGGAGTGTTATAGAAGTCACGTGTGTCACATGATGACCTAAGTGAGGTCACATGTTAAATCACATGCTCTTTAAATAGGGGCATTCTTGTACGTTATAATAGTTCATTGCCACCCTATTTATATCAATCTAATGAGAGCCACCAAGCTAAGTTTTTTGACTCCAAAACTCTCTTCATTCTTCTCCCTCTCTTCTCCTCTCTTCTCCCTTGTGTACTGTTTTTCTTCTTTTTATACTAAGATTACAGTCCACAAGTATTCTATAGTTTTTCCCATATTTTGTGAACTGTAGGATAATGCTAAACAATTCGAGTTATTTTGGGTGTCATAGAGGAAAACAGCCAAGACATGATAGCTGCATTTTCTCTGCACCATATCTTGTACTCAGGTTCCTTCCCTTGGGTTCTTTAATTTTCCCTTTGATAGACCCTAGCAGTCCACGTCCTGTGATGAATAACTTAGATGAAATAGCCTATTCCCTAAAGTTGCACTCATCCAACCTCACATTAGCAATCTGTAGGCTGGATAGTTTAGGGTTCCCAATATTTGAGAGACCCTCAATTGATCTGAAATCTCTAGATGTGACCTCATTTGTGTTGGAAGGCATCTTGGTCTTTTACAAACTGATAGCCAAAACGAAGAAAAGAGCAACAAGAAACACTTCACAGTCTGTAGGCTTGATAGTTTAGGGTTCCCAATATTTGAGAGACCCTCAATTGATCTGAAATTTCAGATGTGACCTCATTTGTGTTGGAAGACATCTTGGTCTTTTACAAACTGATAGCCAAAACAAAGAAAAGAGGAACAAGAAACACTTAGCAATCTGTAGGCTGGATAGTTAAGGGTTCCCAATATTTGAGAGACCCTCAATTATCTGAAATCTCTAGATGTGACCTGATTTGTGTTAGAAGGCATCTTGGTCTTTTACAAACTGATAGCCAAAAATGAAGAAAAGAGCAACAAGAAACGCTTTCTGCTTGTAACCTTGCAGAAAGCTCCCACTCAAGAGGTCACAAGGGTCTATGAGACTGCCTCTTTCTGACAATCCAACAGCTAGATCTGAAAATCTCATGTGTTTCTGGTAGTCAGAGGACTACTTCACTCTTATCTTGCCCTAGTAGGGCACAAAAAAATCTACAATGGGCCTCCTTGGAGAATCATCCAAGGAAAAACCCTAGGATTTGCTTGAGTGAACCACGATGAGGTCTAGGGTTCCTTCTCAAATCAGCAACGAAGTACAAACACCAAAAACAAATGAGAGAGCAGCAAGAATAAGAGAAACAATCAGGTTCTAACCTATTATCAGTTGCTCTGATACCATGAAAACATTCAGATTAGAAAAGAAGAGAAAAATTGGAGAAGAGAATTTGAAAACTGGGTGGCAGCTTGTGTCTGTCCAGCCCTAATGTTATTATTTATATGAAATGCTAATAAGAGATAAAGTACAACTCTGCCCCTGGATGGGTGGCAGCACTAGAAATACATAAATAATACACACGACCCAGGTCCGTTCAGCCAAAGAAAAGAAAATAAATAAAATAGACAGCTCAAAACCCACATACTTAGGTCTCACAATAGGAGCATTCCTAGTCTACAGTCTCAAGATGATTGAACTAGAGCAATTATGTATTTCAATTTGATGCATATTTTTGATCTCATCCTAAACAGATTACTCATAATGGAATAACTTTTTTTAGCTATATGTTCCAAGTGCATTTCCTGAAATAGTTTATTCAAGAGTTCTCTTTTCTCAACATAATTTACTCTCTTGTTGTATATGAACACCTCTGTGGATCCTTTCCACTCACTGGGTATTTGGTATTAACCTCCAAAATCACATTGTCATTTTAGTTTCTTTAATTGTTAGGGATAAATTTCTATATTGTAAGTGCTTTTGCCTTCAATTCTATTTTATATATTTACTCCGATCTGATATCCAATAGGTCTGAATTTCTTCGTGTTGTAGTTTCTCCTGCCAAATCTGTCTCTTTATGCAGAACGGACACTAGAGATAGTATAAGCCCCAGAATTGGACTTACAGCAGGCAAGCTTCCAATTTTAGTTCTTTACACAGCAGTGACCCTCATCAACTCATGCAATTTGAAGAATTTGTCAAAAATCCCACGGGAGCTCCGCAAAACCTTCTTGAATTACTTGAAAGAGTTATGGCGAAATGTTTGGGCTCAAATGCTTCTAATTGACATTGTGGACTGCAGCCAAGGGAGATATTATTTTAGTAATTTGAGAACAAATCATCTGGCAGAAAGCATTTTCAGACTTTCTATTGATCTTGATCAAAATCCTATTGCCTGCATATTTGAGTTGGTTAAGAAAAGCATGTTTGGTCCATCCAATTCTGACTTTGAACAATTTATGCTTTGCTATTGGGAGGATTCACCATGTCTTCTAAGGAATCACTTGCAAACTTCAAATGACCATGAAGATATCTTCAATCCTCTAGTACAGTCACTCAATTGTAAAGGAACGGTTGATTCTCTCCTTTCTTCTATCTTGTGCAATCTGGTTTCCTGTCCACCTATCTGCTCAGATGAATTTGACATCCTTGTTTTCCTGGAAGAGGTGAGAGACAAATTGGGTTGTCCTATGATCTATGGGCAGGACATTCGTGTCATAAAAGCAGTGGAGGAAATTTATGTACTCAAACAGGGGAGCTTGAAAAAAGAGGTGCACTTCTTTAAGCAATGTATGAATTCCTTCATCAGTGGTCCTAAACTTATTGATGCTGTTGCTATTCAACAATGTAAAGAAGCGCACAGAGAGGGTTATACAATCTCACTGCGTGGGATGGAGTTCCGCTCTGAGTACATCTCTGCCATAGCAGATAGTTTAGCTGCTCTATTTGGTCAACCATCAGTAGGTGCCAATTTATACCTAACTCCACCTCAATCTCAGGGTCTGGCTCGACACTATGATGACCACTGTGTGTTTGTTTGCCAGCTGCTTGGAACTAAGAAATGGACAGTTTTCTCTAGGCCAACAGTCCAATTACCTCGATTGTATGAACCTCTTGATTGCATTCTTAGGTCAGAGGATGATTGTGTTGAATCTAAACACATGCAATTTTTGCTCAGTGAAGGTGATATTTTGTATATTCCTAGAGGTTGTCCACATGAGGCATGTACTGTCACAGATAATAGTGTATCCACTGCTGATGATGGATCAACTGGGTTTTCATTACACTTGACACTTGGAGTTGAGGTTGAGCCTCCTTTCGAGTTAAGTGCTTGCCAACATTATTTTCATCCTGATTTGATTTACTAAATGGTTCTACTTCTACTGGCTTATCTGCTTTTGAAGATAAAGGTTTGTTCCGTTGTTAAATGTTAGGGTTGACAACGACAAAGATTAGATGATGATGGTTATTATAATGGTGATGTTGATGACATGTATATACACACACACATACACACGTCTATATTATTTATTTCTTAATATCCTATAATGTATATCTAATACATAAATACTATTGATTACACGTTCATTGTGAACTATTAAACTACAAATTAAAATATTATTAGATTGAATAAGAATTATAATACACAATGTTTAGGAAATTAGCTAGGTTTATTGAATTAAATCCAGTGGTTCAAAGTAATACGTACATAAAAAGAGAGACTAAGATCCCTAATTTTAGGTCTAAATGTGCCCTATAATGATTGGTGCCCAAAATTCCAGCAGCCTAGTTGGTTACTTGGGCAATAGGTTTCCAAAATGGTGAACAGGAGTTATCTAGTAAGATGAGAAGCATGAGATAACAATTAGTGTATAGAAAATTGTAAATTTACCTCCTTTTGAGTAAGTGCTTGCCAACATTATTTCATCCCAATTTGGTGAACTAAATGGTTCTATAGGGTATGCATCCATACAACTCTTGTTATTATGCACCTAGGAAGAACCTTAGCCAAACTTAATAAACTAAGTAATTAATGCATGTAGGAGAGTGTGTAGTTTAGGTTTATCTATATCTCCTAAAAATGAGAAGGATTTTAGAGTTTAGTTTGAGTTATGTTGAATGCTTATAGCCTCCTTGAGAGTTGAGTGATTCCTCCTAAACAGGTCAAATGAGTCCTATATATGTAGGTTGAACGAGTCTTCACCTTTGGGTTTAGTTTTTTCCCAAGTTATCCATTTCTTCCTTCTTTTTACTTCTTTATTATTGTAGTCTCTGAATAGTCATCAACATTTTTTTTCTTTGCTCCCCATTTGCTTGTCCTTTAATTTATTTTGTCCTTCATTAAGTTGGGTTCAGAGTATAAAGCTTGGGTTTAACCTGCATCAGTTGTGTCGGTGATAGCCCTCCAAAATCTGTATTGGTTGCTTGGTCAATTCTAGATATTTTTTTTTGGTAATCGTCTAGATGATACTTCAGATACTGGTTAGAATGTCTAATTTCCCCAGTTCTCTGGTTCGTTGGTTCTAACATATTTAGCTGCTTTAAATCAATGATTTATGAAATTTTTTTTGTAGTAGACATGTTTTTTAGCACAAGCCACTGTAGTGGCAACAGGTCTTTACTGCAGGGTTATTGCACATGCTCGTGAATCCAGATGATCAATTTGATGAGGAAACTCTACTGGGTGGATCCTACTTGTTGCATCCTTGTCGGGTTAAATGTCTACTTTTAAAATTTGTGATTAATAAAATCATGACAGCAGTCAAAAGAAAATCCTTATTTTTTTGAGCTTATCTGGCTTCTTCTGATTGACATTATCCTTGGGCCCTTGTAATAAACTGAACTTACCAGTGGTTACATTGTTTGAAACTAAATGCAGTTGTACTTTTTATTGCTGGGATTTCTTGAAAAGTAGATGTTTCCTATTCAGAGAGAGAAAGAATGTGGGAAAACAATGGTGTTGCCTGTACTTGGAAGAAACCTTGATTATACACCTGCAAGGATGGGTGTGCATTGTATTTGTATTTGAAATGCAGTATCAATTATTGGTCTCTTTTTCTCGGTCTTCAGTCAACAAGAAGATTACGGCTTATTTTTGTTGTATTCTTTTTTGGGTGCACACGACATGCTTTAGTATTTAATTGTTGATGTGGATATTGGCACGTCTCTTTTTATGCCTCCTTGCCCTGCATTGCACATGGGATTGCACATCTTCGTTTCAACTTGTTTACATGGATATGTGGTGGTGTTGACACTAACATAAGGTTCTGGGCCCAGTCTGTGGCAAAGATCACTGACATGTCTTGGACACTTCACATGTCTGAGCTTTGCCACTAATATATATATATATATATATATATATATATAGATGATGTCGCATCATAAAAACAGTGTAATATTACATGAGCTGCCCTACGTTTTTGACCTGGCCATTTTAGTTTTTCTTATTTTTCTGATTTTAGATTACATGGATTTGAGGTGATCAAGCTAGAAGCGATATGAGATTGATATCCTGCATCTTCATCAAAATGTTAAAAAGAGTTCTGGCTTGTCACAGGTGGGAGGGATTTGCTCATGTTGCTCTTCATTGTTGGAACCACAACCACAAAAGGTCCCCAGATCCTAGTTCTTTGATGGGAACACTGAACTTCATCTCGGTATATATGTTGCATGTTGCAATCAGGCTAATTGGAGATCATGATCCTAAATTCCGGAAAGCTTGCATGGTTGCTGCCATTCCCCTCCACTCTTTAGATCTGAATAGAAAAATGTTCAGCTATGTAATTAATAAAATCGACAGGGAGTCGAGATATTTGGAAGTTTTTAACAGGGTACAAGCAGCCATTGGAAATAACGAAGATATTTGGAAACAGATGAAATGGATACAACACCTTTTTCTGCTGGGAGAGATGAATGATGAAATAGAGTGGAATTATTCTTTGACTGAATTCAGAGACTACATATCATATAGACACATGGAGGTAGAAGATGCATTTGTGCAGCTCAAGTCTAAATTCTGTAGGGACATCTCATTTGAGGACGCATGTCAGAGCTTCAACAAGGTGCTTGAGAAATACAAGAAAACCAGAAAGCAATACATGTCTGGGATGTTATCTTTGCATTGTACTTGAGTTGATAATGATTATGAAAACACTTGTATTAATATTTTCAATAAAAAATGGTTATCTTGTTTTTACTGATTTCCCACGATGCAGTTGTTTTTGTTTTAAACCCCTAGGTTCAGCAGTCATGCTATACATTGAAAATTGACTGCTGAAGCTAGGGGTGCAAGTTGGGCCAGATTGGTTCAGGTGTCAGCAACATTGCCCAATGATGTGCTACCTGAGATTTAACAACTGCCAAATTTACAACCACATGCATAAATCTAGGATCAAAATATTGGCACCAAGAATCATATCGGTAAGGTAATGCCTATGATATTCAACTTAAGACAAGGTAATTTTATGATACACATTCATGTTTTGGGTAAAATCAAGGTTCAAAGTATTGGAACGTAAGTTGTATTGGAATGATAATTTTAAGAGATGTTTCGGGATATATTTTGAATATACATAGATACAAAAAATCAAGAGATGCATGGTTACATTAGGAAACTTGTATCAATCTTAAAAATACATTAATAGCAATAAATATAAGTTTTATATGGTCATAAATAAGTTATTTAAACACTTGTAAAGGAAGCAAGTTATTTAAACATACAAACCCATACCTCAATAGTTTATATAAGATGTGAGATATAGGGACAATTTGTTAATTATTGAAGATAATGGAAGAAGTAAAATGTATATTAATTTTCAGAAAATCAATATAAATTCTATTAATATTTATTAGTATATAAATTTTAATATTCAATTTTAACATTAGTTATAATGAGCATCCATTAAGAAGAAACATATTTGCTTAAGAATAAAAATACATATAATTATAATCAACAATTGAATATGACATAGTGGTTTGTTTGTGTTTATTACAATTTGTAGGAATGCATCAATGAAGTCCTTATAATTCCCAAACACTAAATTCTAGGTTCAAAATTACCATGAATAGGGCATAAATACATGAGAAACGTGTAGTTAAAGTGGTTTATAGAATTATATGAATATGTACAATTAACACATACTATTAAATATTTAAGACAAGAATCATCTAATCTTGATGTACCGGCTAATGGCTATATTGCATTTTAAAATCACTTTTATGGACCATTAATAGGTTATTGTTTGTAAGTTAAATTGCTCATTAATACTTACATAAATATATAATTAATCTAAAATATATTAAATCCATTAGAATGTAAAGATCTAAAAATCCAATAGACCAAAATAGAAACATGGATCAAAATATCAATATGATGTTGCTGATACGAGCATATCATATCGGTTGGGACTGATGGATTTACCCAAGTTGGGAGTGAATTGGGTATAGCTTCAAAACCTAATATTGCTAAAAGAAAATTGGGTGTAGAACCCTTCACCCTAAACCTGAAGCTAAGCCTTCTGTTAGTTCAAACAAGACACAACGAAATAAGGCTTAGTCAGTGTATTCAACGGTTAGTCAAGATATAGTACTCTCAATGATTAACCTTTTTGCTGAATCAATAGTTGTAGCTACAAGAAACAAATTAACAGTATAATAGCAGGAGCTATAGGGGTTAGCACTTAAACAAATATGACACAATAAAAGTAAATAACTACTAATGAGAAGATAGTAATTGTAATGAAATATAACAATCAAATGCACAACCTGCTATTCGGTTAGTGGTAATGCAGTTAAGTGAATAAATATAAACATTGAACTGCAAAATATAAAGGGTAGCTAAAAGTAGATTAAAGGGAAAAGTAAATGGTAGTTGGACTGGTGATGTGTGCCTAGATTAGTAGTTGGAGAGAGAGAGGACCAACCACCAATATGTAGCTGAGACCATCTACAAGAAGAAAGCTATGAGAAGGACCAACACAAGTAATATCAATTTGAGATTCAAGCAATTGTTAACCTGCTAATGGAATCTTATGGACAAATGTTCATAAGCAATAAAACTCAAACTACTAAACCAAAGGATCAGCAATTAGTAATGTTAGTATGGTTAGTAGTATAAGAACTACACCAAGAGATCTTGTATCTTGTAGATGTAACAAAAATGAACAAAATAAGTGCAATGATTGCAAGATCATAAGAGTATCAAGTTATTGCAATTAATAGAGAATGTTAATAAAGTTAGTAAGCAAGTAAACTAGAAGAACTTAAAGAAAATAAAATGCATACATAAAAGACAATATTTATAGAGGTTCAGCCAATCTTGCCTATGTGTTATACCTCAGACCACTATTGAGGATTTCCACTAATCAGCTAAATTTTCCGAGTGCCAGCAAAGCCTTTACAATCAATAGGACTTCAGGGTGCTTATAATACTTTAACTAGTTGGACTTTATGAGTTCTAATAAGACTTAATTAGAAGGACTTATAGGTGCATACAAGACATTGTAGTTGGACTTAATAGAGGTGCCACCTACTTGCTCACAAGCTATCACTAATATAGCACAGTAACGGGTTTACAACAAGAAACCTTTTTTTAGATAGATATAACAATACATGTTCAAACTAATTTAGTTGCAAGAGTTTCTCTAAAGATGCTCAACTTAATGAAGAAATCTACATTAGATAGGTAAGATTATACAAGCTCAAAGGCTTCTCAACTTTTCTCATCTCTAAAACTATTGAAGCTCAAGAATCTCTTCAACAAAATTAACATTTGCTTACTTGCTCTCTTTGAAAAACAACTACATACTTTGTACAAAGAAAGCATTAGTTGTTTTTCTCTTGATTCCTCTAGTTTCATTTTTAATCAAACTAAAATCCTCTATTTATAAAGGATTTGAGAGCAAGTGACCATTTTCTAGTTGTTAAAGGGTTTTTTTTTATCCTATTCTTGGTAACAATTTAAAATTGCTCCAACTTGATGAAAGGCTTTCCAAAGATGGTATTAGCCATTAGATATTTTAAACTGTCAATTTTTTTCTTTGAAGTAGTCAACTATCAAAATTGCTAATCATTTATTTGATAAAGGGAACAATCTATTTTTTTTTCTCCCCCAATCAACTGGTTCCTCTTATAAATTGTTTGGTATCAGTTTTCAACACAATTATTTTGGGTTAATTGACTACATTTTTGTGAAATTGTCTATGCCTCTCAAGCATGGCATTTTTATGCCTTGGTTGTCACAAGTAGTTGAATTCCTTTTAGGGTACTTAACTATGTATCCTAGTCCTACCAATCCATGTCTCAGTTGTTACAGTTAGTCAATGAAAGTTTTAAGATCTTTTCCATTGGATTTCAAAACAATTTTTTAAAATTATAAAACTCTTTTTAAGTCCAATAAAACCTGGAAGCCAAACCTATTCTAGCCAATGGTCTCTAAGGTTAACTAACCTAAGTTCAACGTTGTTGAGCATCAAGAGAGTACATCTAAACAATTGATTACATCAAGTTCCTAAAAATTAACACAATTAGAGCACAACTTATTGAAGTCTTCCTCCTCAGTGAGTTGTTATAGAAAATGATGAATTAGAGCAATTCTAATTCTTTAAGTTATAGAAAATGATGAATTAGATCAATTCTAATTATATATATATATATATATATATATATATATATAATTTTTAGAGGCTCTAAAAAGATAAGTTTGTTTGTGTTGGACCAACCCTTCAGCATTTGAAATTTCCTGATTTTAATATTTTACCCCTAAAATAGACTATTTGGTAATTTTGAGTTCAATTTGCAATATTTCATAAAAAATAATTTATTATATTAAAAATAAATTAGAAAGAATAAAATTATTAAAAAAATATTTAATAATTAGCAAATTAATATCTTAAAACTATTAAAATATTTAATAATTAATAAAAAATAAAATAATTAATAATTAATTTTACATCACTTGTAGCGGTTTTCTATTTTACATTAGTTGTAGAGGCAAAGAATGTGGCGGAGACGATGACAGTGGTCGGGAGTGGAGAAGAGATGGAGAGAGAGAGAGGGAGAGTAGGGGGGTGAAGACGACGACAGTGGTCAAATGCCTGAGAGTTGTAGTGGATTCGATCAAACAACTTAGGTGGCTAAAGACAGGACTACTGATACTGAAAGTTGTAGCGGCAGTCGCAGGAAGACAAGGGGGAGAGAGAGAGAGGGAGAGGGAAGGAGAGAATGAGGAGTTAGTGATGTTCTATTCACAATGACTGGTTCAAGGAAGAGAAATTTTAGAGAGGGAGCAATGACGAGGGAGAGTGGAAGAATGAAAGGAAGAGAGAAGAATGTGAGATAGTGATGATGGAAATGGAGAGAAGTTGAAGAGAAGAGGATTACGGTCGCCGCCACTGGTTGATTCAAAACCGCTGCTACAACTTGTAGAGAGGCCGAGTGGTGGTTGAGGATGTTGCCAAGAGAAAGAGAGTAGAGGAAATGGAGAGAGAGAGAGAGAGAGAGAGAGAGAGAGAGAGAATAGGGAGATTGACTGTTGTTGGTATTGGGTTCTGTTTAAGAAGATAAATAGGGCCGAATTTGAATGGCTCAAGTGGCTAAAGACTGGAATGCCGTTGCTGAGAGTTGTAGCAGCGGATGTAGGAAGAACAATGGAGAGAGAGAGAGGGGGGGGGGAGAGAGAGAGAGAGAGAGATCCAAGACAAGGGTGTTAACCGCCACTACTAAGAGTTTCAGGGATGATGGAAGGTAGACAGGGAGAGAGAGATTGAATGGGGCTTTTATTGGGTTAAATAGTAGTATAATATGTCATTATTAAAAATATTGAGGATATTCTAGACTTTCGGCTAGGTTTGAAATGCACCTAACCGCATTCAGTGCCTGGCTTGGGTCTTATGGTTTTAGACCTAAAAATGCATTTTAGATCATTTTTTAGACTCAAACCTAAACATAGGTGGAATCTGAAAAGTAACATTTTCAGACTTCAGATGTCTAAAATGTGGTATCAAACACCACCTTCATTTGGAAAGAAACAATATGAAAGACAAAGAACCTTTGATCAAATTACTTCCAGACCCAAGGTTCTTTCTTTGACACCATGTTTTCTTGGAAGAAATCAAGAGAAAATAGGAAAGGGAGAGGAGAGAAGGAAGAAGAGAAGGGAGGAAGAGAGAAATAAAAGTTTGGGTGTAAAAAATGTTA